ACAAACCACTACAAAAAAAAAAAAAAAAATCACGTAATATTATTGTTCGCTTAATGATTGTGCCGTGCTTACCCCTTTCTTACACTTTTCTTACAGGAGCCAAAGACCGCCTCTTACGGTGGTACCGGGAGTTCCGGCACTGGGTACCGGTACCTGCCCAGCCCTACCTCCCAGCACGACCTCACAGAGAGACTCGGGGGAAAAAAAGTATGTGTATGTGGAAAGAGGGGAGGGGGTACTCAGTCTATGTCTGGAGCTGCGAGGGTGTGCAAAGAGCAAATTAGATGTCAAACGATGCCTAGGCTACTAGCCTTACGTCACACACTGTGTGGAAGGTAGGCCTAGAAACTTTGCGAGCGCATAACAACAGAGAAAAAGAGACTCTCTAACAACACTGGAGCCGTGTGAAGAAAGAAGAAATTGCGAGGAAGGAAAGATGTACATTTTGCCTAGAGAATGAGTTTTTAACTGTTCGAATAAAATTGCACGTTTTGTCTCATTCTCAGCCCTCGCTGATTTGTATCCCATTCTGATCATTGAAATGCAACATAACACAATACTGTACCCAGCTTGAAGCCCTATTCCTATCTCCCTGTGGGTGAGCAGGAGTAACTAGATATAACATTGTGCTTCAAATGAAAAAAAAATTCACAATTCACACACACTCACACACACGCAATGCTCAGTGATGTGAATGATGATCATTTACCAGTTTCAATAAACTGCTACTACCATTGCTTAAACTGTTCGATTACGAAAAAAATAAGGGGAGGGGGAGGGGCGAGTTCAGGATCATACTTTCCGCACGTAGAGTTAAGGCGCCAAAGGGAGGGGGAGGGGGGGTGAGTTGCACTGCGTCTGTCTGCTCTGCTATAAAGAATAATTTTTTCACATTCATAATCTCTTTTGACACATGTTGGGCATGCGCCATCTCATTACACCTACACTCAAACAACAGAAAAATGACGGGGGGGGGGGGTTATTTAACGCTCAATTTTAAACAACTTCACCGGCTTTTGGCACTGCTTCAGCACTATTCAGGCCCATTCTAACACCATTTAGCGCCATTCAGCTCCATTCTAGCACCATTCAGCACCCATTTAGTTTTAGCACAAGCCACAAGCTCAGCACCACTTTCACATAATGTACCATTAAGTAAGTGTCTTACCTTCTAGCTGTCTTTTTGGACCTCAGTGTCTTTCCAGAACACAACTGAATTACTTATTTTTTAATATCAGAGGCAACACAGATCGAGATGTTGTGTTATGTTATATATCCTTACGCGCCTGTAGCAAAGGAATTGTATGCTCCTGTCCTGAAAGAAACGTTACAATACAAGCCACCATTGACTCACCGCACGCTACGTACAGTCCGCAACATTCGTTCGAATGGCTTCTCGCTCGCCAAGCAGGAAATCGTTTAGCGAATGTTTTTTCCGCCCTTGAGGGGGTTTCAGATGAACAAAGAGCAGTGTCTGTTTGATCAAATTTGCGTTCAAATTAATTTTCGTGTTAATTCAATAATGCATCAAGCTACTCAATACACACACACACACA